CTTTTTGCCAACACAGTGATTGATCGCAGTAACTGAGGCTTTGTTTCCCAAAAGTTTGCAGCCTAATGACCACCGTTATATGGCAGACAGCGTGTTCAAAAGACAGACTCGCTCTACCATGTAACAGCGATCGTTATGCTTTAAAGGGTTTGGGAAATGCAGCCCAGAGCAGCTGGTGCCCAGTACTGAGAGTGCAACAGAACATGAGAGAGCGTGAGTCAGCGAGAGAGCGAAAAAGAAAGAAGACAAAATAGTGGGCTACGTCTGCCACAGTCTTTCAAAGTAGGAGGTTTAGGTCAAAATAACATCCTCATTTCATTTTGAATCTATCTGCTGATCACGGACTGCGGTATGTATGTATATACACTGCAAGAAAGAAAACTTTAAAGCCCATATCCTACCTTTTTTGTATTTTTCTTTTGAATTCTTTTGTACATGAGCATTATTCCAACCTCTGTTTACACCTTAGAATTTGGCTTTTTTTGTTACTGCACCTTTAAAACGTATATATGTAAATGAGCTCTGCTCTGATTGGCTGCCTTGCCTTGTGCCTCACTCAAGAAGCAGTCCAGGCTGAAACATTCCTTATAAGTTCAACATGAAAGATGTGGAGCTAACCTGCTGTAGGCTGAAAAGGCAGATTTGTTTTGTGACATCACAAAAAACAGTGAATTCAAAATGCAGTTTAATCTCCATATGGACTGAATAGTGAATGGTACATTCTGAAACTTTAACAGTGTTTACGGACTACGTTACATTACATTACTACATTACAAACTTCTTTCTCGTTATAAGTTTAATATAACAATATTATAAGATTATTCAATCTATTTGTTCACATTTTTTTGGCTTTGTTTTTTTGTTGTAATTTTATCAACTTATATTTCTGCAGTCGAGTATTATAGTAAGATGATTTCACTTGTAAAAAATGACATAAATAAATAAAAATGTCTTGAAATAGGTTGAATAAACGTATAAACTTGTAATAAATCTAATAATGAGAAAATTAAGATGTGTTGCCTACATTTAAGATTTCATTCTCCGCAATGCACCTTGAGTTCTCCTTTCAAAATGACCCCGTTAACCTGTAATAACTCTGCCAACTAAGACAGTAAGGCCCAATCCCATTTCTTATTTTTACCCCTACCCCTTGTTTTCAAGGGTCACCTTGCCCCATGGAACTGAGTTACAAGGGGTAGTGGTTGAAATCTCCCCCTATGAAATGGGACTCTCAAATAAAAAAGAGCATTACTTCATTAACAGCTACTAGCGCTGCTCTGTAGGCGACCCTGCCAGTCTGCAGTGACAGCAGAGGAGGGTAAAGTTCAGCAACATCACTGCTGGGCTTTAGTTACATTTAGGGAATCATATGCCTTCAAAGAGGGAGGCTGCGACAATTATGTATTATTCCCCACCGCTAATTCTTCAGTGATATGAAGCTGAAGTCAGCTATTCGCCAGAGTCTTGTTTGAATTTTCCTGTTCCACCTTAAATGGTGCAGCAGTTCTGATGCCTGAGGCGCCAGAATGTAATTGCTGCACCATTTAAGGTGAAACAGGAATTTTTTCTAGCTAGCTACTGACACTGTAACATACTCCTAGTGATTTTTATGCTTGTTATGAAGAAAAGGACCATAATACATTGAAATGACATTAAACTAAGATAAAACAATGATTACTGTAATTTATTAACCAAGAAAACAATCACATTTGTGGGTTTGGTTGCTTGTGCAGCCATATTGCCAGTTTTTCATTTTTTCTCATAACACTTCGTTTGGAGTGTGTCTCTGAAAAACCTCAGTTTGGAGGGCTATGTAGCCCTAACACTTCTCCCTACCCCTCTATCTCAACAAAAACCAGGACACCCTACTCCTATGTGTGGACATGCCAAACAGAGGGGTAAAGGCTAACTGGTAGGGACAAGGAGTATAATGGGATTGGGCCTAAATCGAATCCTGACACTCTGGTTGGGTCCTAAACCAATATCTTTCAAAAAATCACAAGAGGAACGCCAATCTAAGACAACTTTCCCAGTCTATCTAATCTCTTTATTACAGTTAAGTGATAGAATGCAAAATCTGCCCTGAGAGCAGTGACATTTTGTCAAGTGTGGCCCATGTTCTTAAGCTGAAAAGCTAATTTTCCCTTTAAACTGTTATGACAAATAGAGTAAGCTGCAGATCGGGGGAAAGAGCGGAGGGCAGCATGTAATCTATAATTACCCATTTCCTGACTCCATTATGAGGGCAGAGACAAGGCCAGCTCACAGCATGTTAATAATTTGTGTGTTTTGAGTGTTGGAGAGGAGAAAAGCTCTTCTGTGTCGGAGCCAGGCCCTGGGTTTTGGCAAGGGAACACGCTGAAAGATCTTTGAGGACACAAGGAAGAAAGTTGTGTGGTTATGTAGGCTTGGAGACTCCACATGGTCAGTTATGTCAGCTGTGCACTGAATTAAGGAGCTTGTTTTAAGTCTCTAGACATGGGGTCAAATCCAGGACAATGCATTATGGGTATGATTTAGAGCAAAGGTTTGCTAGGGCTAGTTTCATAAAGAAAGGACCACACATTGCCAGTGCTAACTGAGGCTGACATTTTTACATCTGCTGGAACATAAAATCCTCTGACTGGATGGAGTGCTAGCTTTGTTCATTGCAAACCATGACTATTAAGGCTAGGCCTTCAATTTAGGCCATAAATGTCAAAACACAAGGAAAGAACCCACATCAGTGATAGTTTGTCAGCGCTAAGCTAATGCCAATTCGCATGAACACTTCCTGATGAGGCTGAAGTTCCGTCTTATTCAAATTTTCCGTTCCATCTTACACAGTGCAGCAGTTACATTGTGCCGCATTTAGGCACCAGAATGTAATTATTGCAGCATTTAAGGTGGAATGCCGCTCATATTCACAGTCACTGATGTGTTTAGGACTTCCAGAAGGCTTACAGTGATGTTTTTTTCTAACAAAACTGGTCAAACTCACTGTGACTACTTGATTCCTCTGCCATTAATCTAATATATTAGGACTTCTCTTCAGCTCCTGAAGTACTAACCAATAGGAGGGCTTGCTTAGCTATAGGTTCCAAGATACCACAGAGAAAAGCAATTCCTGATTGGCCAATTTTCTGCTGGGTGTTTCAAGAATCTAATCTTTTTGTTTCTATTCTGTGCTTAATAATTAAGAGTATTACTGTAAAACTTGCAGAGTTTAAATACAAGCATGCTTAATAAAAAATTTGACTAAAAATTCATGCTTTTTTAATTCTCATAAATCATTAGGCCTGATTCTAACTAGTTTACTTAAATAACTAAGGCATTGTACAAGAAGAAGTTGTTTTACTAGATTTGCATTAAAAAGTTTAACAAAGAAGTAAATAATAAAAAAGTTTTTGCTATTGTTCTATTTTACAGTGTAGATACATTACTGACTGTGAACACTAACTGTAGCCTAACTAGCTATTAGGTTTTGTTGGCTATTAGGAAGTCAGAAACAGCATGCTAAGAATCTCTTTACCGGAAGACAAAGATACGATGTAAAATCTATGATAATGTCTATTTTAAGCTTCAAATACAGTGTATATGTCTTTTAATGTATATGTCTTCAGATGTTTGTGTTTAATCTAGAGTGGTGAAAAAGTGTTAATGCGCATCACTGTTAGCTTAATGCTAACAAACTATTGGACATCCCATAGCAGCACAAACAGAAATTAGCAGTGTTGGAAAGGCGTTTTTTAACCAAATTTTTACGATTATGGCCCAGAAGTTCTTGCTTTAATAATTATGGTTTGCCACTTAAAACTTTTGGTTTGAGATTTGTTATATAGGCATCCACTTCAGTAGCTACCTGTTTTACTGACTGGATTGAGGGCTAACTGCTAGTCTTTGTTTACTGCTAGTCACACGATGGTATAACATTGTTGTATATACCTTTAGTTGAGTATGTAAAAACTAATATAATTTATTAAATGGACATTTTTAGCAATGGCACTATTTTAAGGCATTTTTCTCATGTAAAACTAATGTATTTTTGTATGTTTAGCATGCAGTGCTAATGTATTTCACTGACTGGATGCTAACTGCTAGTCATATATCTGGACATTTTATTCCATTTACTTGAATATAGTCCTATAAAACAATTCTATTTTATGAAGTAGAGATATCAGGCTGTGACACTTTTGTACAGGCATCTACTTGAGTATATAAATCCGATCTCTTTTACAGACTGGATGGAGTGCTAACTGCTAGCATGTGCTATTGTTGGCCACATTATCGTGTCTTGGCAAAGTATTCCTTTTTATTGGTTGAAGCGTTCGTTCATTACTAAGAGCATAATCATTAGCCAAAGGGCTAAACAATGAAAGTGGCAGTTCTGTACAGATATCTACTTGAGTAAATAACACTAATCTATTTTACTGACTGGACGGAGTGTTAACTGTGTTGACTGCTAGTCACATTAGCACGTCTTGGTGAAGTATTCCATTTTGTTAGTTGAGGCATTTGGTGAAATAAGGTCTGCAAAAAAGCTAAACCTCTTAGAAAATCCAAAAGAGGAGAGCCTTACAGTGCCAATTCTCTGTGTCATGGATTGGAAAAATAAGAAAATCACTATCCATCAATCTTTTCTGTGAGAAAAAAGAAAAAACAAGATTAAGAGACACATTCTGCTGTGGTGTGTTGAACATTTGGAATGCTTGTATCGTTTTTTAGTACATATGAGTCAAACTGTGAAAAAAAAAGAAAAGAATTAATTGCTCTTTCTTTGAGTTGTCTTTTTCTACATCTTTATTTTGTATGTGTCATTATGATTCTCCAAGGTGTTGATAAACGCTTCTCTTCTCTTCTCTTCTCTTCTCTTCTCTTCTCTTCTCTTCTCTTCTCTTCTCCTCTCTTCTCCTCTCTTCTCTTCTCCTCTCTTCTCCTCTCTTCTCTTCTCTTCTCTTCTCCTCTCTTCTCCTCTCTTCTCTTCTCTTCTCTTCTCCTCTCTTCTCTTCTCTTCTCTATAGATCAGTAAGCAGCAGCTGCAGGTTGTAAAGGATCGCTTCCAGGCCTTTCTGAATGGCGAGACGCAGATTGTGGCAGACGAGGCATTCATCAATGCTGTCCAGAGCTACTACGAGGTGAGGATGTTTCAAATAAATAAGCAAACAAAGCTTATATATCTTTGTTTTTACAAAGGATGTGCAAGTTGAGTTAACACTCTATTTGAAGGCTCTGTCTGTGTATACCGAACATGCTGAGAGTAAAAGTGCTCCTCAATCCATTGAATAATACATATCGCTGTTGTCGGAACAAAACCACGTATCTCCAAAATGGTAACTTTACAGAAGAAGGAAAAAACATACTTTACTTTCAATGTAAATCAATGGAACCAGACATTTTTACCTAGTCATTTTTGCCTGTTTCATTTAGTCCATTCTTCATGAGATTTATACGCAACATAAAGGGCAACAGGCATTTTCTAATTATGTCAAAAACTGAAAAACAGCAGTGATATGTTTTATTGTTATCTTTTTCTGAGCATAAACCCCTGGCATTTGGGAATTCTTAGACATTTGATTTGGCTCACCAGTTACCCTAACCAGACCCTTCACCCTACAGAGAGAGCAACATGTGCTATACACCCAAATCAGTTCAATTTTCCATCTAAAATGGGGTCTTTGAAGTACTTTAATGTAGCGTCATGTTATAAAGTACCAAGAACCAGTTTGATTCAAACCTACCTTACTTTATTATTTACAAACTTTACAAACATTGTACTTTGGCCTCCCAAGACAACAAGTATGGACACCCCTCATCCAGGGTCTTCAGGTCTCCTTTTGTACTACTGCTAGTTTGTCTTTTTAAGCCACATTGTGGACATTATCAGAGGACAGCGGCAGTTCACAGGTAGTTCATAGTGCTCAAAATGTTCAATAAGAAGATTCAATCGCATTGGTGGTAAAGGCGTAACCAGAAAAAGCCAGGAAAAAGCCAACCTATCACATTCTTACATTGATGTAAGGGCAGATTTAGGGTACTGCTGTCTTCTCAACAGTCTGACTGTTTTTTCATTAAGTCCTTATGTGAACAATAGAAACAGCCACCATAAAAGTCGGTGTGATCAAAACCTTGTACCTTGTTGAGAGTATTTCTGTATGTGTAATAACTGAGACAGCCTGAAAATGAGATTTTTGGGGGGTTAATTGAACCTAAAATCACAAATGATATATGCATTTTTGTAAGATTTTAAATACGTTTCTTTCCCTGACTTCAAGTTTTGGGTCTACAGGTCTGTCCCCATTCTAGTAGATAGGAGCCTGGTCTTGTATGACTGGAAATAACTGGCCAAGATGACCACTGGGTCTGCCGAGATTATGAAATTTTAGCGACTTATTTGAGATTAATACTCTAAACATGATACTCAGCTCTGATTAGACATTTAACCCCCGAAAATAACTCAGAAATCCTCAGTGCTGAAAAAAACAGTAATAATATAAAATATCAGTAATAACGTAAAGTACGAAGTGGATGAAGGTGCACCTGCTCTGTCAGCTGAACTTGGGTGGCAATTCCGTCAGACGAAGGCAAATTAATGAGTGTTCGGGGCCAGACAGAAGCGGCTTTTCCAATTCAATTAGTGCCCTGACCACTCTTACTGAATTTGCACTGGATGTTCCCCTGCGCTCAACTCATCCTCACCTTCTTATCCAGAGAGCGAGAGAGATAGAGAGAGAGGGAGAGAGAGAGATTTGTAGAGATTGATTGCAAAAGAACAGAGAGACCATGACGAGGAAATGGAAGGAGAGAGACAGGTAGATAGAGGGAGAGATAATGGAGAGAGGGAACATATATTGGAGTCAAGTACTACTTAACTTTGAGCCAGAGCAAACTGAAGAAAATAATATACCTGAGTTAGAGTCAGTTAGAATTAAATTTGTGCAGTTAAAGTCAGCCTCCGTTATGATTCTGCCTAGAGGGCTGGCCTAGAGAAGCCATTTTCACTGACTGACTGACTGACTGAGTCACCTTTTTGAAATGTGCATGAATGGCTTGGAAGATGTATGGTGGTCTGCAGCCATTGGAAATCACTGACTTCTATTTTGCAACCAAAAAAAAAGCCAAATGTTGAAGAAATCTTTTTTTTTCAAAATGAATGTATTACCAGCCAGTTACTAGCCAGTTATCATCCACATTGCTATCACTTTTCTAATATCTGGAGCACGATGTTTTGCTGCATTCTATACAGAATTCAGCTGATGCGTGTGGTCAGATATGGCAGTGCATCGAGTATTTTACAATAGCTTCAAAGGTGGCTCAGCTAATCAGATCTCATGACCTCATCTGTTCGTTTTATAATAAAGGTATAAGCCACTCAAAACAATGCATTTTACTAGATTTTATTAGTCATGGTATACAACTTTTTCAATGCACGCTCGTTAGACAGACTGTAAAGAAGAACTTTTTGCGGCTTCATTGCGTAGAATTCCCTGCTAAAGCCTAAGTAGACTGATAAATCAATGTGAGGACCCAGTTATTTATCCCAAGCTTGTTTGAGGGATGATGAAACAAAACAGTCTCCTCAGCAGTGGGCATGTTCGCAAGTGATAAGCTTGTTGTACTGGGATATGACAAAATGTTTGTTTGCTCTTTTTGTGAGACAGGCAGCGGTCCTACTCAGGCAAATGTGGGAGCAACAGTGGTCTAAAGAAGACGATGAGAGCAAAAACAAAGAGAATTTTGGAACTTAATAAAAAAAATGAGCAGATATTTCATGACACATATTAACAGAAGAAATACATAAAGAAAATGAAAGCCAGTGAGGAGTTTTTCCACAACTTCGACTAATCAAGATGTATTCTACATGTATTCTAAATGTAATGGAATACTTTACTGAATATACTTTCGTCTAAGATTTTAGTCTAAGATTTTAGTCAAAGCTTTACCGTAGACGCGAGTGATAAACAGCGTCAGTGTTGTTTTTGCGTCAGTTTATGTCGCAGCACATTAACTTTTAGTTAACTTTTCCACATTTTATGTTATGCATGCAGTATATATTGAGTTGTTTGTGGAAAATATTATGATGATTTTTTTTGATACATCTCTATAGATCATAACGTGAATGTATGTAACATGTGAATAAGGTGCTGTATCCACTCTGGGAGGTACTAGATATGGATTGGGCTTGTTCTGGCACAAATTAAACCGTGCTTTAACGCAGAGACTTCCAGTCATAACATACTACTTTCATTTCCCACTCTTTTAGAATCACTATGTATCTGTTCAAAATAACATGCTCTCCTGTGATATACATATTACATATTATGAAAAATGAAGAAAGAAATAAGCTAAGCTTAGTAGAAACGATAATTTTGACCACTCTAGAAATCAGTACATATAGTAAATTAATACTAAAATAAATAATAAATACAAATAAAATTGTGTCCAAGAGTCAAACAGCCCTGCGATGGACTGGCGACCTGTCCAGGGTGTATCCTGCCTTCTGCCCAATGACAGCTGGGATAGGCTCCAGCACCCCACCGCGACCCAGAAGGATAAGCGGTTTAGATGATGGATGGATGGATGGAGTCAAACAGACCACATTGCACTTTTAAACAAACCGTCAGTTCACACCACATATACAAACATTCCTGATGGCTTTAGCCAATGTGTTGCGTGAATGATGTCAGACATGAAACAATAAACAATGTAGATTCTTGACAGCAGCCTATCAAATGTTCTAACAATGTTTAAAGATAATTTCATGCCGTATGTGAAATATTTTATATATGATTTTGAACATGGCTCAGCCATTTAGAAATCAAAACATATGGAATCCACAAGGCGCAATGCTGGGAGTGCTAAAAAGGAGGAGAATCAAGTTGAGGGAGTGAAAGCGTAGAAAAAAGTGAATATAGAACATGGTTCTGAATGTAGAACACCCATTCATCTTTGTCCATGCTTGGACAGAGGTTACAGCTGCCACTTGCCTGCTGTGTGAGCTGCTGCTGATTTGGAGCAAAGTGTTTTAGTGAGTATCACAACAAGCCTTCAACAAGTTTCAGCTGATCTAAAGCCAGCGCCCCGGTGGGCAAGTCATTAACCTGCTGCGGCCAGGCTGAGAAATGGCCTTGCTTAGCGCTGGACATGGAAAAACAGCCTCAGATTGAGTGGAGACATGAAATAGCATTAAGTCGGGCATTATTTCATCGTGTGTAACCATTTACTTGTACATGTAGTACATCATAAGTAATCATAAATATGCATATGCATATGCAAGTGCCATGTCCCATACATTCTACATGTCAGGAGCAATAAATTAATTAATGTAGTAATTAAGGTACCAATATCACCAGTTAAAATCTGTTATTCATGATGTTCATACAAGTTTTCATGATAGTCAGTAGCTAAATTGTGGAAAAACTGAATGGTGAGCCATCACTTCATAGAACAAGAGTGTGTTAAGATATTTTTTGACCATTACTAAAGCCTTACGTCTTCATGGGTGGTAAAATATTGGCGTCTTCAAAGTGGTAAAATATTTAATCTTTATCATTGTTGTGTTCATGCTAAAATAATCGATGAAAGTCATTTCCTAAGCAATCTTTTTTTTTATTTTGAATCTGAAGTGTCTTTATCTAATATTTTAGTGGGCATCAAATCCCAAACTTTTCAAAGATAATAAAGATTTGCTTATCACTAATAAGAAATTGTTTAAAATTAAAAATCTGCTTAGTAAACACACAGCAAAGTTGCAAATACGGAAGCTAGAACACATTTTGATACAACAAAAATAAGCAGAGCCTTTAATAATGTGCCTTATGTTCAGTGACACACTAAACATGGACGTCTAGCTCCACCCTCCTCAGTCTGTAGTCAGAAGACTCTTGACACTACAGCCCCAGGCTAACCCACTAACTGTGAGCTAGCTCGCTAGCAGCAAGCTGAACTCGCTAGCTGTGACCTAACCCACAAAATGCGAGCTAATAGACTACCTGTGACCTGAAGCTGTAGTATCTATCTATCTATCTATCTATCTATCTATCTATCTATCTATCTATCTATCTATCTATCTATCTATCTGCCTACCTACTTTGTCTCCCTCTTTCTAACAATCTTGTGTTAAAGAATGACACAAACTGTATCGTCTCTTTCCATCATTGCACACTCTGGGATAGAAAGGGCTTTCAGAGATACTGCTTCCTTCCTATTTTGAAAAAACAACACAATATCAACAGTGACAACTGAGACACAGTGGATAAAAGAGACCAGATACAACTTGTTCACAGCTTGGAGCTTTGTTCAGTCACTCTAATCCATTTTAGCCATATTAGCCTAATTAATACAGATTAATTTATACTAACTTATTATGTTTGACATTAAGCCTTTACAGGAAACCTGAAAAACTTTCTTCACATTATCTAATTTATATCATATACAGCTGTACTACAGTGATTTTGATTAAAACTCATCCGTTACTCATTTAAAACCAAAAGATAAGGCCTAACTTCAAATATTAGCCTAAATGAAATATAGAGAGTGAACATGAATTTCATTTAATGTGATTGCAGTGATTGTGTCTGTGAGCAATAGTCTTGGTAAGTGAGCTCATAAGCTATTGTTAACATTTAAAAGCATATATCATGTTGTATTATAAGTTGCTAGCGAGGTGGATACATTTGTCTCAGAACAGTGCAGTTAGCCTAGTGAGATAACCAGCTAGCTAATTAACTAGGTGGTGCTGTTAGCTGGCAAGTTAGCTACGAAGCTAGCTTGTGTTATGAAAGCTAGTGCAGTAGCCAGATAGAGTGGTTGGTATAGTGTAATAGGTAACACTTGTGCTTTCTATAGGCATCTTAAATTCTGTAGACTGGGATTCAATCCCAGCACCCTATACTATACCAATAAGAGACCTTGGGCAAGACTCCTAACAATGCCTGAAATTTTAAGTTAGCTTGGACACTGTTGGCTCTCTGTGTGTGTTGAGCTGCTAGTGAGCAATGAGGTGTGAAAGGGAGGGATGAGAACCTCCCTCTCTTCACAAAGACAGTCGTGCTAGGATAAAAAAGACAGCACATCTGCAGCTTTCTTCATATCTAAAAGTCATGTAAAATGTTTTTTTGAGAACCCATTTTTTGGCTTCATTTGGCAGCTTCATTTTTAAGGGTGAATGAACCGTGCCTTTTTCAACAAGGCTACATTCGCTTTAGGGTCCAAATATTCAGAAATTTACTAAACAATATTGATAATTCCATCACAAATACAATCTAAACTGATATTTGTACGTCTTTGCTCCGAACTGAAGGTACTAGTTAACCTCCATAGGACTAAAACATTGACACAAACTGCCGTTGTTGTTCTCAGGTGTTCCTGAAGAGCGATCGCGTGTCTCGAATGGTCCAGAGTGGGGGCTGCTCAGCCAACGACTCTCGTGAGGTCTTCAAGAAACACATTGAGAAGCGTGTCCGCAGTCTGCCCGAGATCGACGGCCTGAGCAAGGAGACCGTGCTCAGCTCCTGGATGGCCAAGTTCGACACCATCTACCGAGGCGAGGAGGACCCGCGCAAGCACCAGCAGAGGATGACGGCCAGCGCCGCCTCTGAACTCATCCTCAGCAAGGACCAACTTTACGAAATGTTCCAGCAGATTCTTGGCATCAAGAAGTTTGAACATCAGCTGCTCTACAATGCTTGCCAGGTACGCCTCTCTGAGATGTACGCTGCTGCTTTTAGGCTGGACTAGCTAGACGCAGGTTAAGGCCATGTTCACACTTAATGATTCAGCAAAAAATTTAATTTACATATTTTTCTTGTTGCACCAAGTGTACTTAATCAGCAAAGACATGTTTGGTGTCTGACATTTACTTCTTTAGCTTTAGACTGGAGATATGAGGCTAGTGAGGCTCAGAAATAAAAACTTATAACTCACTATATAGTGCAAAGTGCATGCCTAACTCAACATGCACTTGCCTCAAACCACATCATGTTATTAAATAATCTCAAATAGACTTGCTTATGTTGTTTCTCTCATCGTATAAATGGACAAACATACATCACATATCTAAAAACAGTAGTAACAGCTATCTTGAAGCCTAATTTTTGTTTGTACTCTAAGCCTAGATACTAAAGGTGAACCTTTTTAAAATTTCTGCCTAATGCAATCATTAAGATGTAAGCAAAGTCATTCAGAGGGGTTTGATCTGAAATGGCTCATTGTAGAGAAACTTAAACTCTGATTTCTTTACAGTGGTGTGGGCACCTGGGATCACAATGTCTACAGCACAAATAACTTTTTTATTTACTATCCAAAACGGCTAGCACAGTTGTTCAACAGTTGATTCATGAGTCTAAGTCTAGCTTTGAGTCTTTAATAGAGATTTTTAGTTTAGTCTTGTTATTAGCTAAGGGCATTGCATTGTACAAAAGTAAACCGTACTAAAAACCTTTCGGGTTCAACACAGCTTGTCTTTCATCATAGAAAAATCTTCAGTCTGAAGGACAGAACTGTAACACTACACACAGTTAATGCAGTGTTTAAAGGAAGGAGGTAAATGATTGGTTAGTTTGTAGTTCACATGGCACATATGCTAGCTGGGTAGCCCAATAGCTAATGCAGATAATCTATAGCTAATCTATAGCTACTAACTAATCTAATTTCTCCCTAATTTAGACGTATCCAATTCCATCCACTAGTTTGTACTCCCCGAATCATACGATACCACCAGCACTAGGCTTCCTCTGAGACCTGTGAAGCGCCACTGCATCTTTTTGAACAGCCACTAATGCAACGTCATCAAACAGCTGAACGCGCTTGGAGGAGAACGTTTGCTGCAAGTTCTGTTACGTCAGCTAACAGATGCCTGCGCTGGCTAGCATCATGTTAAATGATGGGGGAGAGGGAGGGCCATCCTACCCACCCAGAGAGCGAGGCCAATTGTGCTCTCTTAGACTTTTGGCCATGGATGGCTGTAGCATCACCAGGATCTCCTGATGACAGGTCCAATGCTTGCATTAGATAGATTAGCTTGTAACTTCAGCTAGAATATGTAATATTTATAATGGTAAGATAATGATAAATCAAAAAAATGTTTTCTTTGGGGACTATTTTGCCTTACAATGCCCTCCATGTATTTAAAATAAATCCATTTTAGGCCAAAGCCTTGTGAGGCAACATATTTATAACATATTTATAGCTTTCTGTGAGGTATCTTTTAAAGGCATTAAACGCTTTGGACGTCTGGTTCCTATCACCACCGCTGTGAACAATTCTGACTCAAAAAGTTTTTTTTAGAAGAGAGAAAAGAAGATAATTTCACATCGAGCCACTCTGAATGACTTTTTAACAATTACAATTATGCAAAAACAAAAACAAAAGCAAAAAAAATCCATGGAATTCACCTTTTATCTTAGATTAATTACACTTTGAACCACTTTCCCAAACCCAGATTAAGCTTAAGCCTAGACTACACGTGATTTTGATGGTGAAACCATCAAACCATTAACGCTGCAGTTCCAAGGCCAGGCTTAATCCATGTTCAAGAACCCATTGTCCCCATAGACATACATCTAGTATTACATTTTTAAGTTACTGCAACTGTGACCTTTAAAACCATGACTCATCTTTAACTGCCTGTTACGTGATGTGCCATTCTTTTAACACATACAAATCAGACTTCATTCCAAAAATGAAGAGTGAAACAGGAGGTCTCTGAGTTTTAGTCATGCAGTTCCAAGTAAGGCTCAACAAGTGACATGCCTGTCTAGTGCCATAGATGAACAATGCACTTCTTACAAATGTACACCAGCCTGCTGTAACGATGTACGACCGTGTCTTTCACTTCTTTTTTTCCCTGGAGGTCTTTCACAATAAGTTTCCATATTTTATAACACTCTTCACACTTCAGAACTGTAGTGTCACTATGTGCTGCAGAACAAACATGTAATGCTTGCAGCGGTGTATAAATAATCTAAGCATCTGCTCGCGTACGTGGAGTATGTGACGTACGTTACTTCTCTGGAATCTATAGCTTTCATAAAAAGAGTTTCGTAAGAGATTTCAGGCTGCTTGCATAAGAAATTCAGCAATTTGTTGTATATATACATATTATTGAAAACAGTGATATGATAAGTACATTTGTTGCAGACACGTGTATACAATTATTTCTGGATAAATATGTTGTTGAAACTCAGATTTCTTTACAGTGTTGGTGATACGAATCAAGGGTCATGTCTATAATGAAATAGCCATTTTATTTAATATCCAAAATGACTAGTGATCCTACACGTCTTCCGAGTTTTTATATTTAATGTCAATGATGGTAAAATATCACTAAATGTGAAAAAAAATATGTTTTCTTTGGGGACTATTTGGCCTTACAGTGCCCTAAATGTACCTCTCTACCATGAATGGGCATGAATGGGGAAATTGCTTCTAACAGACAATTACAGTGTATCATCATTGATATACTGTTTATCGTTTAACGTCTTTTTAAAATATTGAAAAAAAGCACCTAAAAGTACCTTTTTCTGTCTAATATTTAAATCTACATCTTAAAAGTTACACTATTATGGAATAAAGTAACAAATTTGATTATCATGACAAGTAATTCCAAACTTTATAATGATACGTTATTGGAAATGCCAAATGTTCTTAGAACAGACTGTGCAGTGACAACTGCAACAAAACTGAATCATGTCCAGGCACCTGCATGCTGGGGGTGTTCAATACATGCGGCAGGATAGATGACACGAGTGGGTAGTGAGTGGGGTTCTGAATAATACAGGGAAATTACAGAGGAGAGAAAAAGAGAGATTGAATAAAGAGACAGCGAAACAGAGAAAGAGGCTGGGGTCGGGATCAAACCTGGTTGGTGATTCTACAAATTGATCAGAGTTAATTATCAGCTCTTTAGTTTGTCTTTTGTTTTTACTGATGTTCCCATTTGGAATATGATGGGTCGAATATCGAAGAAGAAGAGTCTGGTCCGATTCTGTAACAAAGCTAGACTAGAATAGCAGAATTGCAACATAATGTCACACAAAGTGAAGTAAAGTAGGTCATGTGATAGCAACAGTAGCTTAGTGTTAAGATAAGAACAACAAGCAGTTAGCTGAGTATCGCACTAGAATTACTTTATTTTAAATAGTGCAGATTTGTAATGTAAGTGATATTCCTGTTTTTAAAAAAAGTAAAAACACTTTTTTTTGCCTCCTTGCTAGTTTTGGATCTGGACGGATATCATTTGATACTAGAGATGGCGTGATATCACATTTTCTGATCTGATACTGATATTGAAACCTTTAAATAACCTATTTATAATGAAGCACTTCAGAGGATTATGTCATGTAATAATGAACATATCAAATTATTGTACTGTTTGATGCAGAAACATTCAACATGTAAGTGGCTTTTGCTCACCAAATTACCACTGAAATGATAATGCTAATTTCCACAACTTTCACATATATGTGTTTTCTTGTGTTGTGTTAGCATCAAATTAACGGTTCCACGTATTCATTTTCCCACACTAGGTTCAGTCCTATTTAAGTCTTGAGTATACTTCGTGACTTTCAAAGTCTTAACAGATTATAAAAAGACTGGGCATCTCATAGATTTTTTTGGGGCGACTAAAATATTGGCGATCACACACTAAACGATTAGGGCTCACACATTACTCAACTTTTAAACTGCTGTTGAACCAAACGGAACTCACTGAACACACGAGAACTCATGCAAACTCACGGACTCACGCTTTCTCACATTACTAAGAGACACAAATAAATAAACAAAGGTGGAGCTGCTTGCTGCTGTGGTTTTCTCTGCCATTTGTGCTGACACAGTAAAGAAGCAGCAAGTAAACATGTTTAAGTGAGGCTTTTGGATTTAAAAATGTGACCAGTGTGGTATTTTTAGAGTTTGCTGGTGCCTTAAACTCAGCTAATTAAAAAGCTTCACTGTTTAATTGCTATATTTTCTTCTTTTGCAGTCTAAGTTTTCATCGGCTGTTGCAGGAGTCTGTTAAAATTGAGTCGCTGACCAGTTTACACTATTAGATTATGCCCAGAATCGGGTCAAAATAATCAAACATGTTTGATAAACTCTGACTGGTCTGAAACACAATTGGGAAGCCAAAAATCTGAGTCTGCACCCCTCACACACGACTCGATTCTGTCTCCAACTGTCGACTCCGACTGACCGAAATTCTAGACTAGAGCCAAATAGCACAGACACAGCCAGACTGAGAACCGGGGCTCAAGTCGTGTTATGCAACGCCAGCTTTAAGGCGGATCTAACCAAAACATGGACATTTGAAGACTTTCAAGTAACATGTAACACATGTATGTTATGGGAGGCAAATCCAGCCAAAAAAGAAATTAAAATGAAAACAATAAAATGTAAATGCAAACCTCTTTTTGCCATTTCTTTCTCTAAAAATCTGCACAAATATCCTGCCAAAATTGAAAATGAAATGAAATACCTTCATTTGCAATTTCATTTTTCACATGAGCACGAGCCATTTGTGACAAAAAAAAAAAATAGATTTAAAACTGCTATTTGTCATTTCATTTTAGTCGTTATTCTGGTTTTTCATGGCCAAATCTAAAATGAAAAAGCTAATAGAGAAAAGAAAATCCAAGCTTCACTTTGGCTTTGGCTTTTCTCCATGAAATGCAGAATACTAGTCAAAACTGAAACCA